AGGCTGTTTCCACAGAGCGCTCTGTGTTGCCATAACAGTTACAATCGCATAAAAGCTTTCAGTTTGTACAGTACTTTTAACTTCCCAGTGTTCACTGAGACGCGTCGTCTCACTCCTTCCCCGTAGAATCACAGATCACAGCCTGCTAGGGTACTAAGAGGCCTCAGAGATGACTCTAGATGGGGAGACAAACTCAGAGGGGTCAAGTCGCTTTCTCCACAAAGGGTGAACGAACCTGCTAACTTGGTCTGCCCTCAGTGGATTAAGTACTCCATGTGTTTCTTAAGCACTGGAAAACACGAAAAGGGGTCCCAGAGGCTGGCCTGGTGTTTATGAAGGTGCTTCTTTCCCCTTCTTCCTGGACTCTGTGCTGCACGGAGACCAGTCCAGGGTAACCGCATGCACCACTTGTCCCCATGAGCGTCTTTGTTTTGGCCCAGAGCCGACCTTGACTTAGGACTTGGCATTCGTTACGTACCTCAGAGAGAATCTGCTGGTTCCCAAAGCATTCGTGGGCCTTGTGGGTTGTAATGATGAATTCGTGGGAAGGTGGAGGAGGGGGCGTTACGGGGCACATCCAGGGGGGCACACTTCACATGAAAGACAATGTGACGGGCGCCCCCTGGAGGCGTGTGAGGCAGAGGCCCTGTCCATGTCCCACGCAAAGGGACTAGAAATTCTCAGCATAAGCCATTTCGGCAGACCTTCATAGCCACCCTGGAGGTCACCAACAGGCAGCTCCCGGACACAGTGACTATCCTGGCATGGTCACCAGTGCAGAGGGGGGCAAAAGTACTGGAAGCTTAAGACGCTAGGATCACCCCTTGATCAACGACAGAAGGAATTTGGTGTATAAATACCACAGCTTTGCTGCTCTTCAGTTGACAGCTCTGGAGCGGCTCCTGCAGAGTCTCCCGGGGGCTCCAGCACGATTGAGCCCCGGAAGCCCACCTGCCCCTCAGCTCACCCTTCACTGGTTTCCTTCCCCTCCCCTTCACCATGCTTTCTGGGGGTCACTTCCCAAAGGAACTCCCTGCACCCAAGTCTTCATTTTCAGGCTCTGCTTTTAGAAGGAACTCAGATTCAGACGTCAAGGTCCTCCCTTCCCGAGGATCGCCACAGCGCCTTCCTCTTTGCCACCCTACCCCCGCACGCCCTTCCTCGTCACGGTCATCTCAGCTGCAGTGTCTTCTCTCCTGGATCTCACCCCCCAGCCCACGTGACCTCCTAAGAGTAGCCCTGCGCTGCCCAGATTCTGTCTCTCATCTCCCTGCTGCACTCACCCCCACTACAATGTCAAGCAGAATTTCTCTAGTAACTTGGGGAAATGGGAACGTCTACCCCCAGATCTGGACTTAACCCAGAGGAAGGAAAAAGGGAACGAAATAGCAGTACTCGTGTTATTCGCTCTTTTACTTAACAGCATCTCTCACGATTCCCAGCAGATAGGAGAGGTGACAGCTTCAAGCTGGCCACCCATGCTTTCACACTCCTCCCATAGATAGGACAGAGACTAGGCTCTCGTCCCACCCCCTTTCAATCTGGGTGGCCTTTGTGACTTCTTTTTTTTTTTTTTTTTTTGTGGTATGCGGGCCCAGCCACTCCGCGGTATGTGGGATCTTCCCGGACCGGGGCACGAACGCACGTCCCCTGCATCGGCAGGCGGACTCTCAACCACTGCGCCACCAGGGAAGCCCCTTTGTGACTTCTTTGACGAATAGAGTACGGCAGAAGGGATGCTGTGCCCATTTTGGTGCCCAGGCCTCAAGAGATTGGCAGCTTCCAATTCCTGTCTCTTGCAGCGCTCACGCTTACAGTCACCACGTACAGAGTCACACTCACCTACTGGAGGGGTCCGGAGTGGCATAAAGAAGGAGTGCAGCCCAGTGACCCAAACGTTCTAGCCTTTCCTGCCCAGGCACTCGTCATGGTCCACCTTGACCTTCCTGACCAGCCAAACAGCCAGCGAATACCACTGAGTGGTCACAGCGATGTCAGGAGGAGCAAAAGAATTGCCCAGGGGCTTCCCTGGTGGCGCAGTGCTTAAGAATCCACCTGCCAACGCAGGGGACACGGGTTCAATACCTGGTCCGGGAAGATCCCACATACCGTGGAGCAACTAAGCCCGTGCGCCACAACTACTGAGCCCGCGCTCTAGAGCCTGCGAGCCACAACTACTGAGCCCGTGTGCCACACCTACTGCAGCCCACGTGCCTAGAGCCCGTGCTCCGCAGCAAGAGAAGCCACCGCAATGAGAAGCCCGCACACCGCAAGGAAGAGTAGCCCCCGCTCGCCGCAACTAGAGAAAGCCCACACGCAGCAAAGAAGACCCAATGCAGCCAATAAAAAAATTTATTTTATAAAAAAAAAAAAAAAAGAATTGCCCAGCCGAGCCCTGCCTGAATTCTGAGTTGTGAGATATAATAAAATGGTTTTCTTTGGAAGTCACTAAGTTTGGGGACTGTCTATTACACAGCAATAGATAACGGGAACAGAAGGCAATGAAGAATGTTTCCTGAGTGAAGGAACGAAGGAAGGGAAGGGAAGGAGGGGGCACATAGAGGAGTTGAGAGAGGGGAGGAAGGCAGTTCCCAGTTGTTCTCAGGAGGCTACACTGGTGCTGAGAAAATGTCAGGCACTTGCAATGCTCATAACCCCATTTTAAGGAGAGCCAGGTTCCTTTTGCATAAGCTGCTACCTGTGTTTTGTGTCATTTAACTCTGTTATCCTGTTACCACTGATTGGATCAGGAATCGGCACCCCAGAAAAATATGAAGCATCCTGCCTGAGAACTCTGTCCAGCCCGAGCGGGGCTGGTGGGCCCATGTGGTGTGGCGCGGAGCCCACCCGATCAGATCGAAGTGCCCAGATCCAATTCTGGGCACCGTGATAGCAAGTGGTAGAAGTCAAGACAAGCTGGGTCTCGAGAATGGAGGTGGCCCTGGAGTCTGGAACAGCCAAGGACAAGACCAGATGACAAGTGTGGCCTCGCCTGCTGCAGTTTCCAGTACCAAGGCAGGAGCTCTCTGCTCACGCTTGGCCTTCCAGGGGCTTCCGTAAACCCCAGCACCTGTGCTAGCCTCACTGCGTCTCATTCTGCCTTACGACTCCAGAGCGCCTAAGAGGATGAAAAATCAGGTGAATAGTGCGTCTGCATGCACGTGCTTCAGAAGTGCATTTGTGTGTGTGTCTGTGGCTTGTATGTGTAAGCATGTGAGTGAGCGGTTTGCTAGGATCTCTGGGCTTAAACCTGGGAACTAAGATATCCCCCCTTCCCCACATTTCCTCTTAGAAAAGACACTTTCTTTACAATTTCCACTCTGGTGGTGTAAAGGCTGGCTGCTGTTGTAAACAGTAAGGGGTGGGACAGTGGTTTTGAAATAAGTTTAGGCCTCATAGTCTTTTGTTTCAAACAGAATGTTAGTGAGAGGCCAATAAGATAAATCAGGTAAAAGCCATGCTGCTCTGATTTGGGTGTAGGAAGAGAGACAGGGGCACAGAGCCTAATCATCGGCACCCTTGGCCTTGAGGAGGACCCCGGGGTTCCCTAAGACTCTGTAGAGTTCAGAGGTAGAGGAGAGTACCCTGGATGAAACTGGAACCCTTGGATTCTAGGCCCCTCTCTGCCACTAATTAACTCTATGACCTAATCTCGCCTAACAGCAGTGTAGCCAATAAAAAGCATTTTAAACAATAAGGGTATATTAATCTTGCATATGACAGGAAGCTCAGAGGCAGGTGGTCTTGGGTTTGACGGCCAAAGAGGTCATCAAGGAGCCAGGCTCTTTCTACCTTTCTGTTCCATCATCCCCTCACAGTCACAAAATGGCTGCTGCTGCTCCAATATCTCATATCCTTACAACAGCATTTGAAAGCTGCAGAACGTGGATGGGTGATGGTGGCAGCAATCTCCATAAGCATTTCTCTTTCTTCGAGGAGAAAAATACTTCCGAGAAACCCCCCCACCAGGATCCCTGTTAAGCTCTATTGGCCCAGACAGGGACATCCCTAAACTAAATCATCACGAAGTAATGTTTGCAAAAAAACTAGAGTTACCATATATGACCCAGCAGTCCCACTCCTGAGCATATATCCGGGAAAGACGAAAATGCTAATTCGGAAAGATACATGCACCTCAATATGCATAGCAGCACTATTTACAATAGCTGAGACACGGAAGCAACTTAAGCGTCCATCGACACATGAACGGATAAAGCAGATGTGGCGTATAGACACAATGGAATATTACTCAGCCATAAAAAAGAACAAAATGCCATTTGCAGCAACACAGATGGACCTAGAGATTATCATACTAAGTAAACCAGAGAACGACAAATATCATTATATCACTTATATGTGGAATCTAAAAAAATGACACAAATGAACTTATTTACAAAACAGAAGTAGACCCATAGACATAGAAAACAAATTTATGGTTGCCAAAGGGGAAGGGGGGAAGGGATAAATTAGGAGCTTAGGATTGATATATACACACTACTATATATACAATAGATAAACAACAAGGGCCTACTGTATAGCACAGGGGACTATATTCAATAGCCTGTAATAACATATAATGGAAAAGAATCTGAAAAAGAATAGATACATATGTATAACTGAAGCACTGTGCCGGACACCGGAAACTAATACAACATTGTAAATCAACTAGAATTTTCTTAAAAAAGAAAAAAAAAAGAAGTAATGTTTGTACCATGATTGGCTTAGGGTAATTAATTATGAATCATCTGGGGTTAAGATTGCCTTCCATGAACACATTGCCATCCAATATCAGGAAAAATCTGGACTTCCATCAGCAAGCAACAAGGGAGGTAGCTACTGATGAGCTCAAGGAGATGCAGCTGTCTGCCCTGCAACCCTCACATTTTCAGCAGCTGTAAAGGTCCAACCAGATATTGACAGTGAAAACGCTTTGTCCGCTAAAGGGACGGAAAGACACTCAGAACCAGTTGTGCCCTAAGGTCTTGAGCATTGGGGCTTACCTGATACAGGCGAGCACAATAGCGCTGGCTGAGAACCCTCTGTTTCCTGGTGACTTTGACTCTCCACCCCTCAGGACCAGGCTGTAGGGAGAGAAGATTTAACCCAAGTTGAGAACGTAAATCACAGCCCTGGTTCCCTTCCTCAGCAGGCAACCAGCATTCCGAGCCGTCAGATCTAATGATCTAATCTAATCTCCTCACCTGAGTTGTGCACTGATTATCTGTGTGCAGGATCCATGTGTGGATGGACACTGCTCCTAGTCAAGCTTCATCTGAGCTAGAAACGTGGAGACACGCGGCAGTGCAGTTCGTGGTCCCGGTGCACACCGGCCCTTAATAAACGCTTCTGCTGATAAGGAACACCAGGGGCCTCCCTGCTGCGGACACTTCTGAGCACTGATTTTTTTTTAACCTCCCCCCAACCCCAAGACATAAGTCTCCAATTTGTGAATCCAACCTCTTTTGGCAGGGTTTAAGAACACAATATATATAGTCCTTACAACTTATGACAGAGGACGCAAGGATTAGACCCCTATTATACATACCGTGAGAAAATATGGAGGTACAGTGGTTATTGACGTGAGAAGGTGGGAATTCACAGCTGATTAAGGTTTTATAGAGTATCTGGGGTGGAGTTTTAGGCTGGCGCTAATTGACCTAAGCCAGTTTGGTCTTGCAAAAAACCCCATTAGGTTCTTTTTGGTAAGTCTCTGTACCTTTTTCGAGGTGGGCGAGGGAGCAGGGCCTCTCTCCATACCGTGCCACCAGGATATTGTGAAAGGAAGTCTTCAGGCCAAGTTCTGAACAAGCTACGCAAAGCAGCCACATAACTGGTTCTGTAAATTCCGTGACGTTCCAGCCCTCCATCCTTTAAAAGCTCCAGCAGCCGCCTCTCAGGAAAGTCTGCCCGAGGCAAATGCAAGGGAAGTCTTGCAGCGGGATTCTCTAACCTTCTAGTCCGACTCCAGGCGCGCACAGTCCACCAAATCAGCCGCTAGATGCACGCAGGACCACTTAGGAATCAAGCCCACGGTGCCGTTCCTACGAGAACCAACCACGGAGCACACCAGATTTTCCCGGTCTGCACCTGCAAGAGCTGAAGTACCGCTCCTATTCCTGACCAATCCACCCGCCTCGAACTGCTTCCGCCAGTGGGAACTCGTTTCTAAGGCCCTTTATACTAATGAACAAGAGCTCTGGTGCTGATTGAAGCTCAGGTCTTGGGGGGCTGTGGAGCGAGGACTCGTGATAAGATGGCCGACTATTCCTAAATGCGTGTCCCCAATTAGGCCGACTACCTTCTCCTAAAGTAGATGAAACCGAACAGATACATACATCCGGACACGGAATTTACATTACAGACACATAACAACTGTACGTTTCCTGCTCCCGTTGACACAGATAAAAGAGCCCGTGACAATTTAGCACCCCCTGTGGTGAAGTTTGGAACCGCCCAATTAGAAAGGAAAAAAATGCTCTGGGTTCAGCCAGCCAGCTTTTTACAGATTACAAAGTGTTTTATAGCAAGACAACGGTGGCCAGAGGGAGGGAGGGGCTCCCTGACCTTCGGCCTCAATTAGGGCAGTTCCGCTGGCCCACCGGATTGGACGGCCTTTTAAAATTTTGAAAACCTCTGGAATAGCCCCTGCAGGGAAGAGGGAAGAAAAGAGGCATGGGAGGAGAGGTGGGAGGAGATGCAGCACGAAAGGAGGCCAGGCTGGCCTCTGTGCGGAGGCAGGAATCCTGAGGAATGCCCCCGTTGCGATTTGGCGAAGCCTCAGTTCAGCCGTCCTCCGGGGGAGGCAGGGTGATGGTAGCGGCTGTGTTCCCCCTTCCGGAAGGAAGGACTTACACCCTCGGCTGCTGGAGGGCTGCCTGCAGCCTGACTTCAGCTGTCAGCCCTTCCCCAAGGCTGAAGAAACCGCCCTGCCCAGGGCCATGCCGGCTTCTGGAGCGGCCCACGCCAGCATCCGGAGGCTCACCCCTCCAGCCCAGTTCCGAACCACTCCGAAGGGTCACCCCAGCTCCGGAGCTCCCTGTGGGGTCAGCCGAGGCTTCCGTCGGGCTACCGTTGTAGTTCAGTTTCCTCCTTTGCTGGCTTCGGCTTCCAGCCCCTCCCTTCTCCAGGTGCTGATCCTAGAATGCTAACAAAATGTCCCGCATGCTAATCTCCGTCTCAGCATCTGCTTCCCCAGGAAACCCGACCTGCAACACCACGGGTGGGTGGCTCTGCCCGCCTGAGATCGCGGAGCCGGGACAGAGCGTGCTGGCACCGGAGCCCAGGACCCCTCGGGGGGAGAAAATAGGCAATAACCAGCTTTAACGACCAGCTAGTTTGCTGACCTTTCCTGGTCTGCAACCAGGAGCTGCCAGCTCCAGCTGCCTCTCCCGGCCTCCGCGGGCCCTCTCTCAGGACGTTAACCCCAGGTTTCTGGCTGCGTGCACGCTCAAATCTTCCTTTTCCCTAGGAGCGCAGTCTCCCACATCCTGTGGGTTTGCCGGCTTAAAACCAGAGGGGGCAAGAGAACGGAAGAGAAGAATGAGGACACCGAGAGGGGGAGGGGAAGATGAGGACGAGCGCGCCCCTCGTATGTAAAGGATGGCCCCTCTTACATGCAAAAATGTGACAATTGACCCCCTCCCCCCGAACAGCTCACGCCTGCCCTGAAAGTGTTAATTCACCTCGTGGCGGGGAGGCCGGCCTCCCCACAGGCTATTTCCCCGGGCCTGCCCGGCTGGGGATCAGGCCCATTGTTAATAAGTAATGACAGCCCAGCTCCTCCGCGGATTCCCCTGGGCTTTTGTGTCAGAAACGTCTTCCCTCGCTGCCGCTCGAGCTGACAGGCTCCGGCTCCCGGCAGGCAGCTGCGAACATGGGCCAGCCTCCGCCAGGACGCCCCGCGTCACCGGGCCCAGAGCCCCAGGGCAACGGAGAGGGCGGTAATCCCACCCCTCCTCCCTTCTCAGGTGAGGACGACCTCAGCTGTCTGCAGGGACCTGCGGGGGAGGGGCGAACCTCGTGGCCTCCTTTAGCGAGGGGTGGAGCCGTGCCCTGGTGAGTGGTAAATTCCTGAGGCCTTCAGCAGGAAGTTCTTTTCTGTGTCTGCCCTAAGTAACCCAGCACATTTAGCACTTCCGTTCGCCCAGAAAGAGTTCACAAGTGAAAGCATTCTGGAACCTTCGGGAGAAAAAGAAAATGTTTGTTCCACCTTGCCAATGAGAGGTCCTCCTGTTTCGGAGGCCCCATAGGTTTTATTGTTATTCAGGTCTGGTGATGCCAACAGAGCAGGAGATGACGGCCATAGAGAAGATAATTGGTTATACTTACAAATCCCAAGAGGAGGGGGCAGGCTAGGCCGCGGGGGGAGGGGCACACGGGGAAGCACTGGGGTTGGTCAGGAAGCAGAGGGAGAACGGGAACTGGCGGGCAAGAGCCTTTATCGTGGTTTCTGTGAAAAGGAACAGGCAAGGCAGGGTAAGCGGGTTTAGGATCGGCTAGTTGGAATAATCTCAGTGGGCTCCAGGGCACTGGGGCTGTCCCTAGCTGTCTGATCAGGGCAGGGGGATAGTGGCCTGGAGTGTGAGAGTCAGACACTGGTGAGGGATGCAGGTGCTGGATTGGTTGGTTTGCATTTGAAAGGTACACTCAGACAAGTTGTTTGTTTACTATCTCTAGGAACTGGCAAATCCTGGGAGGGGCAGTCCCTCCAGGGTCAGCAGAAGCCCCAGATGTCAAAGCATCAGAACACAAAAAAGGCTTGGTTAATACAGGTTTATAAACTGTCTGGAATAGTGTTCAGTTTATTGCTATTATTATTTGAAATCCGCTCATAGCACGCTCCTAGCAGCATTATTAATAAGAGAAGGTAGAAAACCCAAATATCTAGCAGTATAAGAATGGTTAAGTAACAATGGGCTCGCCGTACTGTGGAATAGTATACAGCAAATAAAAAGACATACCTACGTGCACTGATGTCTACTGTTTATGAAGATGTGCTACATTGTTTTAAATTGTAGAATAGTTCACATACACGGTTTGATCCCATTTATGTAAAAACAAAATGAATTATAAAATCTTTAGGTGGTATACGTACACACAAGTACATAAATGAATAGGAAAAAAATGGCTGGAAGAATACACCCCTAAGAGTTAGCAGTTTTTACCTCTGGGGAGGGTTCTTTGGGAACCAGGTGTAAGATGGACTCAGGAGTGTCAAGGGTTTATTGGGGAAACAGCCCTGAAAGGAGCAGGGTGGAAGCAGGATTGGGCAGGGGAGCCGGCAGGCGCCAGTGCAGATCTGAACAGCTCCCAGCAAAGGGAGCCCATCAGAGTGGCCCCATTTGGCGTTAATGGCCAGCCGCAAGTACCACCACTTGCTCAGCCGTCGGCTGGAACCACCACCAACGCTGTAGCGCTAGCTGGACGGTGAGGCTGTCACCTGACCAGACTCCGAGTGGCTGGAGGAGGATCAGAGCAGCTCAGCTCCCCGTCTGCTAAGAGGACCTAGAGTATGGGAAGGAGGAGGTGACCGGGAAACTTTTACTTTCCTAGCCCTCGACTTTGTACTTGGAGACTGTATCCGTCTGTGTAAGTTACCAACAGAGGGACAGACAGATATTCTGACTGGCTCGTAACTGACTCCTCCTCCTTCATATCGCAAGTCCTTGCCGGCTCTCAGCAGCTGCAGTGGCCCAGGAATCCACCCAGCTGCAGCATTTACCCAGGTTTTTTCCTTCTCCTACTGGCTCTAGCTAAGAAGAGCATATGCTCGTACGCACTCTCTCCTCTTCCGCTACGCACTAACATTCCTTTCTAGGAACGGGTTTGCAGCACTCTGCGGACTCAGTGTGCCAGGTGCAACACTAATGCTGGGGGCGGAAGAAAGAGCTTAGGTCCTCTCAAGGGAGATGGGGAGTCACATTTGCAGCTTCACGCTTTTCAGGGCAGTGTGTGCTCCTTGCAGAAGGAGAATTTCAAGTGAGGGGCATTAGCATCCTAGAGGAGGGGGGCATGGTTCTGGCCATCCTGAGCATGGTTCCGCTCGAGGAAAGCTTCTTAGACGGGTGGCATTAGGACTTGGACTTGAAGGATGGAGAAGGAAGGAAAGAGCATTCCAGTCAAAGGGAGCAGCATGAATAAAGGCAGGGAGGTGGGATATGCAGTATATTTATAGGTTGCAATATAATTCAAAAGTCCAGACGTCAGGGCTTCCCTGGTGGCGCAGTGGTTGAGAGTCTGCCTGCCGATGCAGGGGACGCGGGTTCGTGCCCCGGTCCGGGAGGATCCCACATGCCGCGGAGCGGCTGGGCCCATGAGCCATGGCCGCTGAGCCTGTGTGTCCAGAGCCTGTGCTCCGCAATGGGAGAGGCCACAACTTCCTCCAGGATTGGGTCTCTCTTCATCTTGCCATGTGGCCTCCCATGGTGTTGGATTTATGGCCAAATTCCAAACAATGACTCCCCCTGCAGCTCCAGAGTGCTTACAAAACGGCTGCCACCGTTCCCAACCTCACATCCTCACACCACACTGACCGGGGAAAGGAGAACCACTCTTTCCAACAACTACGAAGGAAGACACTGTTAGCCTCACTTTCCCATAAATTCCAGCAAACGTCTCCTGACATCTCAAAGGCTATAGTGGGGTTATGTGCCTATCCCTGGACCAATCACTGAGGCCACAGCGGATTTCTGGGCCCTAGAGGAACATCATGGTTAGAGGTAGCTTCAGCTTAAAGATGATGCCAATTCCTGTGGGGCAAACAAGTCTCAGAACTTACCATTTACTCCTAAATCTAGAATAGGAGTTGAGATACGAACGTAGCAAAAGCCTTCAAAAGCATCGTTAGAGGAAAAGACAGGACAACGCAGAGATCTATAAGTTTTTTCCCTGCTCCACTTTAATTGCCCTTCGCTGGCATGCACTGCATAAATTAAGAGCTAGTTAATGCCGTAATGCGTAAAACAATTTCATGCGTCTTAAATATTGCACTTGTACTTTAATTCCACATTAAGTGGTCCCCTAAAATTTTTAAATTTACAAAGTCACTGCTGTGCTACATGAAAAAGGTGCTAATTAAGTGTTAATCAGTAGCAAATAACCTGCCCTGAACCCTGCCCAAGGTCTCCAAAATGACCCATTGCCAGAGAACGTGATGTGATGGCCACAGAACAGAGAATGCAGACACAGACGCGAAATGTTTTCTTAGCCACATCCCAGCCTATTAAGGCAGATTTGCCTATTATGCAGTTCTAATTCAATGACATCCACTATAGTGGACGCAAAGCTAATAATAATAATAGTATTTAATACTGGCAGAACTTTCCAAATTCAAAACACAGGGAAAACTAATAGGTAGGCATCCCTTTCTGGGAAAGGAGAGGACATCTTTTGGGTGGTCTGCTACAAATCCAAAGAATGGATAAAATACAAACAAATGGTTCCTCCCTTTAAGGGACTCGCCATCTGATAAACCCGTGCTACTCAAAGTGTGGTCCGTGGACCAGTGCTGGTCCACAATAAGAAAAGCACAGAAATTGAGAGTCACCATTCTGGAAGCCTGAAGGCAACTTGACCTTGCTGCGACATCCAAGCGGGTGATCAGTGGACTCTTGTTGAACAGGAAATAGATGGGTTCAAACTTCCACGGTGAGTGGCATGTGGCATAAGTGCCATAATCATCGTACATAGTAGGGCCGCAAATATCAGTTTGTGAGGGACTGGAAATTAAACACACACACGCGCACACACACACACACACACACACACACACACACACACACGTTTTTCACCAGAGATGGTTTGAGAAGCACTTTCATAGACCAATCGGTGTAGAATTAGGGGATGCAGTTTTATATCTATATAACTGAATCACTGTGCTGTACACCTGAAACTAACACAACGTTGTAAATCAACTATACTTCAATTTAAAAAGATTGTTTTTAATAGTAAAAAGTAAAACAAAAGGGGGGGAGGGGGACGCAAGTTTAGTTACATCCCAACGAAGAAAGGAGAGGAGGCTTAATAGCATGCTATTTCACACCTCTATATTTTCCCTCGTGCTATTTCTGTTTGGAATGTTCTGTGTGTCCCCAGCCCCTCCACTTCCTGCCCAACCTTGAATCCGTCTCAGTCTCTGGCAAACCTGGCGGAGACTTCTTCCTTGGAGAAGGCTTCACTCAGCCCCCCAGCAATGGAGCCGCTCCCCACTCTGGGCTCACCTCCCCCCCACCCCCGGTCCTGCCCACACTGTATTACTGCACTTTCCACACTGCAGTGAGTTCATTTACGTCACTTTGCCCGGCAGGGCCAACCTTGAAGGTAAGGCTGATGCTTTCTGGCTTTGAATTCCTAATGCAGAGCACATAGTAGAGGCTCATTTAATGTTTAATAAACATTAAATGTTTATCAAATTCAATTTTTTAAAATTGTGTAAAGTATGCATAACAAAAAATCTACCCTTTTAACCAATTTTGAATGTTCAGTGGCATTTAGTCCACTTGTTGCTGTTCAACCGTCACCACCATCCGTCTTCAGAACTTTTTCATCTTGCAAAACTGCAACTCCATCCCCATTAAACACTAACTCCCCATTCTCCCCTCCCCATCGAGCCCCTGGCGACTACCATTCTGCTTTCTGTCTATGAATTTGACTACTCAAACGATGGAATCCTAGAATATTTGTCCTTCTGTGACTGGCTTATTTTACTTAGCATGTCTTCAAGCTTCATCCATGTTGTAGCTTGTGTCAGAATTTCCCTTCTTTTTTAAGTGAATTCTGTTTAAAAATCTTCAAAATTGGGCTTCCCTGGTGGCGCAGTGGTTGAGAGTCCGCCTGCCGATGCAGGGGACACGAGTTCGTGCCCCGGTTCGGGAAGATCTCACATGCCGCGGAGCGGCTGGGCCCGTGAGCCATGGCCGCTGAGCCTGCGCGTCCGGAGCCTGTGCTCCGCAACGGGAGAGGCCACAACAGTGAGAGGCCCGCGTACCGCAAAAAAAAAAAAAAATCTTCAAAATTATCATGCAGTTTTGCAATGAGTAGGGAGGGCGTTCCCCTACCCCCCACCCCCATTCTTCTTGGATTTGAAGCAGAGAAGAACAGATAGAAGGGTATTGATAACCCAGGAGGTGGCAGCAGAAAACAAGGGGGCCCTATGTTCCACAGAGTTCCTCGGTGCCATTTCTGACTCCTGTTTGCTCTGGTTCCCGCTCAGCTGTTTAGCCTCTTGAAAGTCAAAGTTCCCAATTCTGGACAGCGTGCCCAGCTAGGAACAGGCCTGAGAGGCCTTCTGACCGTGGATGGCAGGGTACAAATGACAGTAGAAATGGACTTGAAGTCCTAGCTGTGATTCCACCAATACCCTCTGGGTGACCTTGGGCAAGTCACCTAACCTCTCTGAGCCTGGTCTGTAAAACTGGAAAGATAATACAGTGTACCTTACAGGATTGTTGA